GGATGTTGCCCAGTCTATAACTGGCCTTCAAAGCAAGGAGCACATGGAAGGGCGACGCATGTCACACAACAAAAGAGAAAGATTCCCAGCTCAACTGACCTGCCTGGAAACAAACCAAATGAACCTATCTAGCAGTTAGTTAGTCTAACTAGTTAGCACACATTTGCAAATACATGTGTAAGTTACAGAGCCTCGTCACGGCACCCCCGATATTCTGTAGTTCCTATGTCTACAAATTTTGAGAGCCCCCATAGTAGAGACACATATATTTAATGGTTAGACCAAAGGCAGGTGGACCTGAGGGAGCCCACCCCTTCTTATAGGTACAGGTACAGGAGTGCACTGGACACCCAGCATGTAGCACAATGGCAGCTAAGGTGTCTAGTGCTCTGGTGGACACAGTCTATTACAGATCATGCCGCTGCACACCCCAAGGGGCATGCACAAGGCGCAGTTCTGGGAGAACATGCCTCTATGTACTCCGGGAACTAGAGTGCAGGCTGTTTATATATATTGACCAAAGCTAGCTGCTTTAAGGTGTCAAAAACAGCAGCAGGAATCAGCAGATACCTACAGCTGCCATTCGCAGCAGGGCAAACCTCCTGTGTAGCCATAGGGTATCTCTACTCAGAATGGAGTAGCAATGGAACCACCCAAGGGGTGAATAAAATTCAAGAGGGAAGTATTTTTAATATGAAGCCAAGATCAGGAACACAACACAGGGACATGACTGCAAACTAGCAGAAGGAAAGTTTAAAACTAATCATAGAATGCATTATTTTACAATCTCCACTTTAATTCATCCCAAAGGTGTTCTACCGAGTTGTGCAGGCCAGTAAAGTTCTTCCACTCCAAACTCGCCCATCCATGTCTTTATGGACCTTGCTTTGTGCACTTGTACGCACACCTGTTGGAACAGGAAGGGGCCATCCCCAAACTGTTCCCACAAAGTTGGGAGCATGAAATTGTCCAAAATGTCTAGGTATGCTGACGCTTTAAGAGTTCCCTTCACTGGAACTAAAGGGCCAACACAAGCCCCGGGAAAAACAACCCCACACCATAATCCCCCCTCCACCAAACATTACACTTGGCACAATGCAGTCAGACAAGTACCGTTCTCCTGGCAACCGCCAACCCAGACACGTCCAACGTCCAAGATTGCCAGACAGAGAAGAGTGATTTGTCACTTCAGAGAACACGTTTCCACTGCTCTAGAGTCCAGTAACAGCATACTTTACACCACTGTATCCTATGCTTTGCATTGCACTTGGTGATGTAAGGCTTGGATGTAGCTGTTCGGCCATGGAATGCCATTCCATGAAGCTCTCTAAGTTTGGAGGTCTTTAGCTACTCACCCTGCAAACAGTTAGCGACTTCTACGCACTGTGCACTTCAACATGCTCTGACCCCGCTCTGTCATTTTATGTGGCCTACCACTTCGTGGCTGAGTCTCTGTTGCTCCCAGTTGCTTCCACTTTGTTATAATGCCACAGAGAGTTGACCGTGGAATATTTAGTAGCAAGGAAATTTCACGGATGGACTTATTGCACAGAAGGCAACCTATCACAGTACCATGCTTGAATTCACTGAGCTCCTGAGAGCAACCCATCCTTTCACAAATATTTGTAGAAGCAGTCTGCATGCCTAGGTACTTAATTTCATACACTTGTGGCCATGGAGGTGATTGGTATAACTGAATCCAATGATTTGGAGTGGTGTCCCAAATTTAATGTAACTCATTAAAAAAACTTGGGGGGGGGGGGCAAAGTTGATGGACCACTTGATATTTTTCTGCCATCACTTTTCTATTTTTCTACCCTTGGTCAACAGCATTGTCAGTTTGGGGAGAAGTGGGTGTAATGCTGGCCATACACAGTTAGAAAACCATTCGAAATAAACGGTTGGATTTGTAAGGGTCTGTCAAATGTGCATGTGATATCACCATCATTGTATGTTTATTTGTCCCACAATTATTGACAAATTATTGATCAATAAGAACATAAATGGTACATTTTCCGTAGATCGGTTACATTTTAACATGCGTATGCACTGTATATTTTTTTTAACTATTTTCGATCAATTCCGCTACTGAGTTTATTCATTTAGGCTTAAAATCCGACATGACAGTTTGTCCTTTTGCCATAAAACCTTGTATTTCAATAACCAAGATTAGCCCACTAACATTTCGAAGGTCAATCGATCGTGCGTATTGACCACTTTTTTGAACGATTTTCTAATCGTGTATGGCCAGCTTAAAACCAGCTTTAGATGCTCTGGCAAATTTAGACAGACTTGACTAACAAATTAAAGCTGAACTTTCAGATAACACTTTTTAAGCAGTTACAGTAACAGTTTTTTTTTTACCTTTTTAGAATAATGCTTTTAACTAAATGAATAAAAGCTGATCATTGTCTGTGGTAAATGGTTTGTCTCAATCCTCTAACTGCCACTTTGTCTGAACAGCTTGGTCTATGAAAGGAAATTGAAAGATAACAGACTTACCCTGTGTTCACATCAAGCCCGACTTTGAAATTGTGCGACTAACAGTGAAGTCGCACGATTTTCAAAGTCGGGGGACCCGCCAATTTCAGGTGCGCTTTGCAAGACATCTGATACACCAAAAGTAGTGCACGTACTACTTTGAAATCGGTGTGGCTACGACCAAATCTGAACCGCACCGATATGACCACTCCAATTGTAGACAATAGGGTGCGACTTGGCATGCAATTTGCAAGTTGCAGGGCATGCAAATCACATGCCAAGTCGCATCCAGTGTGAACCAGGACTTTCTGGCTGGATCACCGGGTGAAAATAAAGGATGACAAGCTTAAAGCTGAACTAAACCCATCAATTTAAAGGCAAACTAGTTTTAAAAAAACCAGTTACATTCCCAGCATGTGTTGGGAATGTAACTGTCACATTTGCTTGTGCTCTTAACCAAACTGTCAAACCATCAAATGTCTGGTGTCAAAGCTGATCACATGTGCAGCACCATGGCAGTTGCAGATCAGACTGAGATGGCATATTCCTTGGATGAAAAAAAGATAAGAGGGTTTAGTTCTGTTTTAACAGTTTAAAAATCAGTTAAATTCCAGGCATGCTGGGATTGCTGTCACATTTGCTTGTGCTCTCAACCAAACTGTCAATTCATTAAATAGCTGATATCATAACTGATCATGTGTGCTGCATCATGACAGTTACAGATTAAACAGAGTCTAAGATGGTATCTTCCTTGGCTAAAAAAGGATTTAGCTTTAGTTTGCTTAAAAAAAAAAAGAAGATATCTAATGAAGTCATCAAATTTAAGAATAGGTAAGCTGCAATATAATAGATGTTTGTTTTTTGGTTTTATCTGAAACTGATATTTGATGTTTCCATTACTCTTCCAACGTCTCCAAATAAGGTCTCTGCCTGTAAATCTCTGCCACTTGACAGGAGAGATGCTTGTAACATTTCGGAGTTGTGACATTCATGTACACATTGGACCAATATACAGCCAGGTGCACAGTGCTGGATGGCGCCACAGCAATTAAATGAAAAACTAAACAAAAACCCAGCACCCTCAATCCTCAGCAATATTGACGTTCATTCAGCATGCCATACAGCAAAGTGACATGATACATGATGAAGGAACCCCTGGGGGTTCAGAAACATTGCACTTTGCTGTATGAAATGCGGAATGAATGTCAGCAATGCAGAAGACTGAGTTGTGCTGGCAACAGATTTTTTTCACCTGACTCATAAACACCTTACTGACATCACATTGGGGCCACAGAAAGAATGGGGAAGTGGCCCCCAGGGATTGTCACTCTGTCACCTTCTTTTAAGTCATTTATTAGTCAATGCACTGATTACATCCCGTTATTGTATATGACTTGTTTATTTTTTATGAAATCCCTTGGCTTCTTTCTTTCAGGTACTACACTGGAGCTAGTGGGCAGGAGTGCTGTTGCTGGGCAGATCGCGGGATTTCAACAACCAGAGTGGGTATTCAGCTGTCCACTGGGTTGGTGGTCCATTATTTGGAGTGTAGAGATACCCTCTTGAGGGCCGCTGTGTTTCTGCTCCACACAGCCAGGCAACGCGCATTTCCAACACTTGCATCCACAGTCAGCGAACAGTTCATGAGCTTGGTTTGGTTATGTTATTAGAGGAAATAACTTAGATAGTAGTACCATTATGAGATGCCCAACTTGATTGAATAAATCCAAAGGGACAAATTCCTTCCTATTTACAGAAAAAGATCCTAGACTATTCTTCACCTTGAGTGCGGTCAGTCTTTGCAGATCAGTAGCAAAAGCTCCTTACAGACTAGGGACTCTCAGCCCCTCTGAAAGTTAGCTTAGATTTTCGCAAACTACATGCAGAGATAACTCCTCTCTCCTGTAGAACTGCTCCAAGCTCCAAAGCCTGCAGACACTACCAGCCCTTCTGGCTGCTCTGAAGATCTCCCAGGACAAGGATAAAGGATTAAGCACAGTGCTGTCATTTGAATGCTTGCTACATGTGGTAGTCTCACTCTCTCCCCTTGTGAATCCCAGGGTGTGCTAATGTACTTACTCTGTTCTCCTTGCTCCCACTGATTATGTTCATACCATGATGCTGAATGGATCCTCCTGGGCCAGTCTGAGCCCAGCCTGGCAGCCACCCCCTCCTAGATCTAGGGGACCCCTTCCAGGCCACCAACAACCTCCTCAGTACTTCATCTTCCACCCAACTCCTCTGCCATATTTATGTGTTGGCCTCACCACTCTACCAGGGCCTCCAAACCTGGGATTGGTTAGACTTCCATAAACATGCAGATTTAGGTCTCCACCCCTTCAACCCACTGGCTTCTGGAAGCTTCCATGGTCCTCCAGAACCAGGTGGAGACAATAGAGTCCCAACCTGGTAAGTTATCCAGCCTGACCTGAAGTAGCCCAACCTAATTACAGACTCACACAGTTACCATGAGGCATACACAATAAATTTACCTACACTAACCATAAAAAACACACTAGAGCAGGGGTGTCAAACTGGTGGCCCTCCAGCTGCTGTGAAACTACAAGTCCCATCATGCCTCTGCCTTTGGGAGCCATGCTTGTAACTGTCAGTCTTGCAATGTCTAATGGGACTTGTAGTTTGGCAACAGCTGGAGGGCCGCTAGTTTGACATCCATGCACTACAGGGTGCCACAGGAGGGAAAATAGCGGTCTAATCTCTGAGACCCTTGCCCTGCTGCTGTCTCAGCCAATAAGGAGAGGGAGTCCCAGGATAGTCGAAAATCTACTGGATCAAGAGGGGGCTTAGGTGAGTATTAGGGGGGGATGCTGCACAAAGAAAGTTTTTTTACCTTCATACATAGAATGCATGGAGGTAAAAAACCTTGCACATTTATAACCACTTTAAAATTTATAATAAGGTCTTGTTTCCAGGGGTGTACTTAAAGCAGAACTTCACTCTCTAAATCACCATTAACTATGTTTAATCTTCCTGCTGCTAGCATTATTAAATAGATAGTAAAGCTTATCATATTTACATTTTCTTTCATTTCTTCAGTTGCTTCCTGGTTTCTGGCCTAGGCCAAAATTATGTCATACATCCATGGAGTCTTTAAAAGGGGAGGAGGGACTTTCTCAGCTAAGAACACCCTCCTATCTGCATATTTGAGCTAAGGGCAGATGGATTTCAGGAAGCAAATACTATATGAATTATTTGCCCTTGCTCAAGATGGCTGCAATCAGAAATGATAGGGGGTGTTTTTCAAAGGTATTTCTCAATGAAACAAAGCATGGAGACATGGGTGGATAGGTGAGTTTGCTTTAAATATTAAAAAAGAATTAAATAGTGTTTTCAGTTTGTGGTGCTCAGATGCAGTGCAGTTCCGCTTGTGTGTACACCTGTGCCCACATAAGATCCACGCATCCTTGAACAGGCAGTCTCATTATGTCCCCTGAGAATGTCCTATTGCAGACAAAACATGTAGGTGTTGGGCTTATGGCCTTTGACGTAATTTATGTCCACTAGTGTACAATGGCGTGACATTCTTTGCTTTTAGGTTTGTGACCTTTGTAAGTACCTGTATTGTTGCTGTATTGTCTCCCTTTATATATTAGAACGCTGAGCAAACTGTTGGCGCTATATAAATCCTGTATAATAATAATAATCTCTCTTTAGCATGGAGATCAGGTTTTTCAGGTAAGATGTTGGCACTTTTGGTGATCTGGAGCTTTGGGAGCATTGAATATTTAATGAAGTATAGCGAAAGCTTTTTCGGTTTTATTTCTCCTGTAGGTGACAGGAGTGCAGTTCATTCTGCACTCCTGTGACCTGTTTTTAGCCAACAGCAGGCTTAAACTTCCTGTTGGCTAACGTCACTTAGCTGGTCCAATCTATGAAAAGATCCTGGTCATATGGGCAGGATCCACCCAGAAGGCTGGACAGGCAATCCGCAGAGAGCCTGAGCCAGCTCCTCCCATCCCCCCCTCCACAGCCCAGTGCTCCAGTGAGCACTGGGGGAGGGAGATGCAAAGCAGAGAGCCAGAGATTGACAGTCTCTGCTCAGAGAGGAGGGGGAGAACTGAGAGATCGCATTTTTTGATTGCTCAGTTCTCAGTGCAGAGCCAGCTGGGTACAGATGCAGCATTGGATAGATGCTACATACACCTAGATGAGTATAAATGTTTTTTTTCCAAAGTCTATAGTTCTCTTTTAACTTCAGTATACAAGTTTCATGTTATGTTTTAGTTGTCCTTTTGGCTTTTTGTGGACACGGGTGTGGACTTTACCTTTTATTTTTCACATTTTGGATGAATATTTTCTACATGCAAACACTGTCTGATATATTCACAATTTGGGGAATGTTTGTGACTACATTGAGGGAGGCACATTATATGCATAAAGTATATTAAGTCATATAAAGGTTTTAGGTTTTTTAGTCTCACGTTGGCTTGCGCACTTTTATTGTATTTTTAATTCTCCTGTATCTAGATTCTCCAGTATCTAGATTTCCTCAGTGCTGCATTTCCATGATACATTCGCGCATTCAATGTTTTGCTTTCTAGTTTCATTATTGGCAGTTGGAATGCAGTCGCTGCATGGACTCAGCTGCTGCTGCTCCCAGTCTGACATCTGTGTGGGTGCGTGCTCCTGAACACAGACGGTGTGACTTTGGGGACTTACACTCAAAAATTCCATCTTCATCTTCCTTCCGGTTTTCGAGCTCCAGCCTTCTGACAGGCCAGACCGTGATGACGTCACTCCTGCACATGCTTACCTGTTGGTACAATTAACCTCTTGGCGCCAGCGCCTCCCGGCCCTTTAAGAGTTTCAGAAGCCGGGAGGCGGGGCGAGGTTTTAGGGTCATGTGACCGCCATGATTCGCTGTCACGGCGGTCACATGACCGGAAAAGGTCCCGATCGAAAGGGGAGACCTTTCCGGGAGTCGTGGACATATGTGCTGGGAGCGCGCAGGGCACGCACATTCAGCACATGTGTATTTTATAATTGCACGCAAATATGCGGCCATTCGGCGTCAAGGGGTTAATAAACAGAGTTTATAACCACTTGCCCTCCAGAGGATTTACCTGACCGGGCCATTTTTTGCATTACAGCGCTGCGCTATTTTAATGGACAATTGCGCGGTCATGCAACGCTGCACCCAAATGAAATTTACGTCCTTTTTTTCCTACAAATACAGCTTTCTTTTGGTGGTATTTGATCGCCTGTGCGTTTTTTATTTTTGGAGCTATGAGAAAAAAAGTCCAACAATTTTGAGAAAAAAAACTATATTTTTGAGTTTTTGCATTAAACATGTCCAGTAAAAATTTTTTAAAAATCTAATTTCGTCATAAATTTACGCCAAAATGTATTCTGCTACATGTCTTAGCTAAAAAAAATACCAATACATGTAAATTAATTGGTTCACGTAAAAGTTATAGCATTTACAAATGGCGGTATATATACTGGGATTTTTTAATTTTTACTAGTAATGGCAGCAATCAGCGACTTATAGCGGGACTTCGGCAGGCATTCTGACACTGGGGGGAACTGACTTGGTGTCACTGACATCCCCAGTGACACCAATACAGCGATCAGTGCTAAAAAAAAAAGCATTGATACTGTACTAATGGTACTGGGCAAGAACGGGTTAACATGAGGGGCACTGTGTGCACTGTGTGCTGGGAGTGTTTTAGTAGGGGGCCATGTCAGTGTCCTTCACTGCAAGCACACTGCTTTGGATGGCTGTGTTGTGCACAGCCATCCAAAGCAGTGTGCCCGAACTGATAGGGAGAACTGTTAGTAAACAAAACAGCTCTCCTCCCCATCGGAAATCACCGGGTGCCGGCGAGTAATCAATGGCCAGGATCCGGTGATTGACAGCCGCATGTGTCCCCCCCACCCATAAATGCAAAATCACACATATATATATATGCGTGTGATTTTGCACACCCGGCATGGCCCTGTAACAGTATTTCTCCTGGATTGTAAGCTCCAAGGATCAGGCCCGCCTAACCCTCTTGTATTGAACTGTATTGTTGCTGTATTGTCTCCCGTTATATTGTAAAGCGCTGAGCAAACTTGGCACTATATAAATCCTGTATAATAATAATAATAATTTCTGCTATAGGGCGGTCGGGAAGCTGTTAATACCGTATCTGTATTAAATTAGCCCCAGAACCTGTGTAATTAATGTGTTCAGTTTTAAAGGGATGAGGTGGCAACCCTAGGTGGGGTTGGACCCCATTTATCATTCTTCTCTACATGGTGCCATTTTTTTTGCGTTGCTTTTCCGTTCCTCCATTTCCGTGACTTTTCTATGAAACCAATAAAGGCCATAATGGTGTATAATGTGTTCAGGGTGCACAATCCTATGAACCTGTCATGTCTCCCCATTGGTTGCACTACCATGTGACAGCTGTCTGCTGAGTCTTTGTGAATATCAGGGACGTCTGCAGACATCGTGCATGAGAGCAGGTTCCAGTCATGAGCTGGTGGCCGTGACCTGTCTGTTATGGAATGGATGCCCCCAGTCTGGCACTTGTGATTGGTGGGGTTAGTATAGATCTCGCCATCCTCCCACACTCAGCGTGTGCTCTCAGCACCTCCACCAACACACAGAGACACACACGCGTCACGTGACAAGCGCGTCTGCCCCTCTCATCACCCTCCTCGCCCCCGCTCCTCCCCCTCCCAGCGACGTCACCGCTTCCTGCGCTCCGCAGACTGAGCCGACAGACGGCAGGAGGGAGGCGGCTCGTGTGCAGTGGTGACGTCACGGGCCGTAGACTGGGGAGGGGGGCAGAGACAGGCTGACATCGAGCCAGAGAAGCGATGGCACCCAGGCAGGAGCGGAGTGACCAGAGATGCCAAGGTAACAGCTGATCATCGCCCCCTAGGCACTGAGTGGCACCCAGGCTGGCAATGCAGTAGGGGATCCCGGGAGGTGACAGCGGGACAGTTCAGTGTGCTTGCCTTGTCTGTCAGTGCTGGGACACCTGGACAGCAGGTAACAAGGCAGTCTATGGTGAGAGGGTGGAGGGCCATGCAGGGGGGGCACACAGGATGCCAGGATTCCTCTATACCAGTCTAGGAAGGGGCTGCCCCTGTGTGTGCCCAGCTGATGGCATTTACTGGGCTCAGGCTGGCATGTCACTGCCCCTACAATGCAGTGCTGGGGTTTTCTGGACAGGCTCAGCACTCTGATCACACAGGATCACCGTAATGCTGCTGCCAGGGGCTGTAGCGCAGTACAGCGTGGAAGAAGTGTATGTATGTGTGTGACCACTGAGTGGTCAGCGATTGGCCGTTCTTTGTTGTGACACCCATCACATTAGACTTTCAGCCATCAGTCATTGATTTGCTGCTGGAATTAAATGCCTGGATGCCATGGGAATTCCCTAGCCCATTGTTTCCTCTCTGCTTTATTAATGACACTATAATGTGAGCAGAGAGCACTGTCAGCCTCGGCACACGTCTCCCAGTATCGTACATCAAGGCAAATCGCAGCACAGGGCGCGTTTAATTTCGGGTCTATTGTTTGTACCCTTCCCATTGACATCCACGCTTCTCCTCTCTTTACATTCCCTTTAACTTTGCCCTGTCACTGGAGTATGTCTGAATATCTGGATCGCACACGACGATAAGCTGTCC